GTCCTCTAAGAAACCTCATCAAACCTATCATACTATGGTGCAAATCATCTAAAGCATGTAACTATCTCGGTGAAAGCCATTTAATACCTGGATTTGAATATGGGTAAAGAGTTCTAAATATGTAAAAGCGATTTCCTGAGCCGTGGCGTGATAAAGCGTTTAACCCCAGGTCATAATAACATTGTGTTTTTTTTTTCATCAGATTCTCATACTTTACAATGTTAAAATTAATTTCAAATATTGCTTGAAGTATGGTATTTTGAAGTTATATTCAAGTATAATCACAAGAGTAATTCACAGCCTATATCAGCATTGAAAATATAAGAAAAAGATTCAACCAGCACCAGAGTTGAACATGCAACTCTCCAAAATCCGTTTTCAGCGATTAGAACCCTATACCGTCCACAAATCCAGGAACTACTACATGGGCGCGCCTAGATGGGTGTGATATCGTACACGCGTTAGACGCTTTGCACAATACTGCAAGGCCAGCCGTCAGCACAGCATTCTCCGTTCCAAAAATTCGCCATTTTTGTCAATGTCGGTTCTATCTGCCCCAGGCTTTTGCACCTGTCAGCTTTCGCTAATGTTGCAGCTATCACTTGTGGACTTTTGGCTCAGTTTACCCCCAACCTTTTTGATCAATCGAGATGCTTTTCTCTTGTCTCAATAGTACAGTATCATACTCTGTTAATCAAAAATCGGTTTTTGTATCGTCACCTAACCGCTGTATTAACCTATACCAGGTATTAATACAGCACGAGGTTCGAAATTATGCAGGGTAGATAGGGATATACAGTATCATACAGTACAGTATGGCACGGGTTGAGAATTTTGCGACAAAGCCTGTAGGAAAGGAAATAAGTCCCTTAACTAAAGCTGCAAAGAAATTTGTCCCGTTTTGTTTCGTGTCAGTGTGCACTGTCCCAACTGTATTTGCCCAAAAACGTATGTCGGCAGTTTATGGCTGTGCCAATTTGCCTAGGCGGTATGATACAGTACTATTCTTGGGTTATTGGCTGGTGAGCTGTTCTCGGTATCCGCAGTACGGCACTCGGAGCTCTCTAGTGAACCCCCACTACGGAAATGTGCGGAGAGGAGACTGCTAGGCCGTTAAGGGATTGGGCCAAAGGCTTTTTTGGACGGGTTCACTTCCTATCATACCCTGTATGATAGATCTCTGCAGCAATGAAGTACAGGAACGGGAACCCTTGAGTTACCAAAGTTAATTTTACAGAGTCCTATACGCCCTAAATGTTGTTTTGGCAACCGGAAAATTGGCATAATCCTTTTCAACGGCAGTCTATGGGCGGAGATGTATATCGTGCTCGGGTTTAGCCAACTGAAATATGGGAGGGTCGTTCTCAATGTCTGCGGGGAGTCATCGGTTGTGGTTCCCTCACGATTCGGGACTTGAACCAGATACCATGCGTTGGACCTTGGGGGACTCTCTTTTGATGAGCCTTGCGCATGTGGCTGTACCCCGAATGTTTGGAAAAAATCGGCATATGGTTGTGGGCCTTTGAGAAAGGCCCCGGAAATCGAGATGTGATGGGCACTCTTGTCTGCCTGTCTCTGCGCGTTAGAAGTGCGCACTAGATTCCACTCTCGGGGTGGCTCTAATATATTGGCACGCAAGTGCTTGATACAGCAGCGTTGCAGGCGGTAGCCTAACTGCGATAAAGAAATTTTAGCAATAACCAATGCCTGGTTATTGGTGGTGCGCATTTTTTTTTTTACCAATTCGACTCTTCGATCACATGATTGAATACTCTAGCTGTCCTTTCGGAATTGCCATGGAACTTGAATCCGTTTTTTTTGGGGGGGGGCATCCGACTCTAGAATTTATGAGAAAACTGGTATGGATCACTTCTTTTGCATGGGGTATCACTCGACCGTGAGTGGTACACTACTGGTAATCAGGTGCTGTCAGTTATGCCCTTAAGCGGGTCAATGAGCCAGGCGTAAGTCATTCGCATAACCCTTGCTAATGAAAGTTTACCATAATTATCCTGGCCCTTTGTATAGTACCCTTTTGTGCCCCTTATTTTCCCCACAACAGAAGACTCGGGTGTCCCACGCATGTTTATCTTCTTCTCTCATTATAAGGGATTCAGTGGATTGACAGCGTCATCGTATCGGGAGTGGAGGGAGTACAAGTTACAGGCATTTAGAACCCGAATTAGAGGGATGACAGATTTGTATGGCAAATTGTCTGTGCGTGTCTGACCGCCGATACAAAATTTGGACTCCAATGTTCGGGTTCTTCTCAGGCGACCTCTGGAACGACCCATGGCGCCGATAAGTGGCGCCTATCATTGGCCGGTCAAGCGGAAGTTGGGGAAGTGAACCAATGCTTCTGCACCTCGAAGAACCACTCCCGTTCCTTTGCGCAGATTTGTGTTGTCGCAGGAGTGCAGTGTCACCGCAAATCCTGGCCAAACCAATTTCCCGCTCCGGAGCCCATGCAAAAGAGCACCGCTCAGGAACCCCTCCGTGGCGGGCTGTCCCGCCTTAGGCCATATGTAGGGGATCTAGCATGGGTAGCCCTATCCAGTCCCCATTTTCTATGCTGGGGTCCGCCATGAAATCTGCCTCCGCCTGGAGCCACAGGCCATTTGAATTGTTGTCACTCTGCGCGTGCTTCAAAATGAAAAACCACATCATTCGCTTCGTTTGATTCCGCTCTGGCGTAGTATGCTTATCGCCCAATCCAGATTGAAGGCAGATATTTTTCCCCCCGTAGGTGCAGCAAACCCCTATAACTGGGCCATTTGAGGCTCTAGTTTTGACTTCCTACGATACCCATTATAACCCCATAATTGCTGTTGGGCGTCATGGTCAGTATCCACTACCGTACCTGTGATTTTTGTCGTGAAAACTCGTTAGTTTCCAGTCTTTCGCAGTTATCTCGTCCTTTGTGACACCAACCCGCCTATCATTGTGAACTATCCCAAAGTCAAGACAGTGACAGAGGGGCGCACGGTGACCAATCAGGTGCGAGAGTCAGGCGTAGAATTATGTTAGGGTGCAGGGGGCATGACCAAAATCACCACCAATACCCTGCTCGGTAATCGTGCCAACTCCCTTATACCCAACCCTTAGCTTCGCGGGAAATTTTGGAACGATCGCGATTTTCAGATACCAGATACTCAGGCACAGATTAAAGATCGGGACGCAGTGACATCAATATCTATGTTGCAATCACGACTTTTGGTTCCCAATCTTTGATTTGCGCCCGAGTAGGTCAGTTTTCAAAAACTTTTAAAGAATATGATACTCGAGTATCTCAGCGGGCATACGGGCAGGCTGAAGAACGGGGGACAGGGATCGGTATGATACAACCACCAGGTATCCCTTTGTTACCCTACTTTTACCAATTCACTTATGATACGCCTGCATCTTCCTCACACCTTGTTCACTGCTGCCCTGGTCCTGCCTTGGTCCTGCGCCAGCCAAAGACAAGCAAGTAAGACATCTCGAGCTGTAGGACACGGTACAAGTACAGTACTCCCCCCCCCTAGGAGCAGAGGGGTACTCGGAGTACAGGCAATCATATCATCAACCGCCCAAAAATATTAAAATTTAAGACACTTTGTTGGTATTTAGCTTCGGTTACCACATAGATTTTAGAAAGTTCTTGTCAAATGATTCCCCTTCTATCTGCTAGATTCGATATACGAGTACCAGTATTCCCAAACAAAGAGATCAAAAGCAAAGAACTAATAGGACCAGTATATGAAATCGGTCTCACCCCAGCTCTATCAATGTGCGCAAACTCCCTATTTTGGTGTGTGACTGGCCATGTCCCACTACGCTATTTTCCTCACTCATATGCCTGTAAGTTAGGTACTTGTATGATGACAAAAGAAATAAACCTCTGCTGCTGCTTGACCCCTATCCGTCACCCAGCCGTTCTGGTCATGTCAGACTCTATCCAGATGCGGTACCGTGCTGTCGTGTTGCCCTCGTTGATTCCTGACAGGCGCAACACCACGCCTCCAGTGAACAATCAGTAGATGGGGAAACGACGATGAATCAGGTTCTATTAAACCCCCCTCTCTCGTCAAGTGTCCAGAACCCACAAATCCTGTCCTGTGCCACTTGTCTCCAAAGCATTTTTGCTACTACACGAACTATGAGCCCCTTTGCCTTCATTTTTGCAATGACCGTAATTGGCCGATTCGCAGCTGCGTACCCTCACCCCCCCAGCGGTGCTATTACACTACCCTCACCAACCAACAATTCCAGTATTCAGCCAACAAGCGCGAGCGCTACTCCGACTCCGGGAGAGTCTCCCCCACCGAAGACCGAAGAAGTGCCCGGTTAGTCCACTGTTGACAACTATCTCCCCCAGTTGCTAACTCTATAGTTTAAAAGACCAGTCGAAAAACGCGTTGCCGATTGCCTCCCCTAACCCATCGCCCATTGGGTTCGGAGCTATAATACAAGCAATAAATCTAAATGTAGAAAGCGTTCCGCAGAACAACTCCATCAGGATATGCGCCCAAGGTTCGGGAAATGAGCTGGTCTCAACCACGGTAATCATCTATGGTGCGTGAGGGTCTCGTTTTCTCCCTTTTTCCCCAGTCTATGGCCATGGGCTCATCCGTTCCTTTCCGAGATAGACTGCCTTCGCTATGTATGAAATTTATACTCACCCAAGACTGCAGTATATTGGTTACTCCTCTGTTCAGCCGTTCTCTTAGGCCTAAACGTCATACGAAATGTTTTACACACATACTCCGATTTTAAAGCTTGTAGGTCCCCCGAGGATCAGAGCGAGGAAGACCCCGAAAAGAAGCCGGTTGGACTGTAGTTGGAAAAATTGGAACCCTAGAAGCTCTCGGGGACGAGAGGAGGTTGGGAAAAAACCCCTCCCGTGTCCCCAATGCATATTGGACCGTTATGATGACATTGTGTGTACGTTACGCAGTAATAGCTGAGAATATCTCTGGTTTCCAGGTCGGCTGTTGGTTTCGAAGACGGGAATGGCCCTCGGGTGCGCGGCTCCACCTCAGGTGTGTAGATATTTCTCTTTTTGTCAAATATGTATCATACAAAGAGCAGAGAGATCGGGTCTAGCGAGCTTAATTATCGCCTATTACTACATCCCTCTCGGGACGATACCGGTATAGTACCGCAGTCAAGCTGTACTCGAATATACTCAAGTAGGTCAAGGACCGTTCATATCACGCCCACAACCAAAAAGTCCTAGCTGAAAAACAAGTGTAGACGCTACAAGAGCATCAAAAAAAAAGGGGGGGGTTTTGATAGTAGAGTGCAAAATCCTTTCAAATATCTCCCCAAGTATCAATCTAATATTCCTGGAGATCATTAGAGAATTGCTAGCGACTCTGGCACGCGATATTACTCGCCAATTGCAAAAGTACCGGTATCCAGATACCAGTACCGTAAGTTGCGCCCAAAGGCGCCAAGCCCCCATAACGTGCAAATCTATATTGACCCAAGGTTAGGTAGGATCCGTGGGTAGCTTGATGCGCTTTGGCATCTGAAAGTTGAGAGGAGCCATGGCAGGCGGTTCAGAAAATGGGCCTGCCGTCTTTTCCTCGCTTCCATACCGGTGTGATACCTCAAAACTTGGTACTGTACTGTACTGTACACACATGCGCGCATGGTACGAACCGATCTTACTGCAAATGAGGGCAACCAAATGTATCCCCGCATTACAACTCATCCGATGTCAATCTTCCTCTCGCTTAAGTATCATGGAAGGCGGTGAACACGGGCCACAACGTGCCGCAGGCGCTGTGATAAGTTCTTACTCGAGCCAATGAGCCTTTCAGCGGCTCACGGCGCTTCGCGAGAGATTAGAGCCAAGCCGAACTGAGGCAACACTTTTGCAAAAGGAAATTTGAGCGATAGGCAAGACCCGGATAAATTACACAGACATTTCTTAAAACTGCAGTCACTTGCTTAACCTGTGCACACAGACCTCAACCTCGCCCTAACCACGGTGGAGACAATCTCCCTATGATACTTGGAAGTCTACGATAGCCGATACAACACCAATCCTTTGGGGTGGGGGTTTTTGGCTGAAGTCTTAGAGGTTCGGCTCCAGGATCCGCCCCCAAGCAGGAGCTCCCTCAGAGTTTATCACAATCACATTTAACGGGCAACCGACGCGGCCATCCGCATCCCCGCGAACTACCAGCCTCTCCCCAATCCCTCCCATACCCTGTTGAAGGCCAGGCAGGCAATCAGAGCGCGATAGCATCACTATCGGCTGGCTGCGCAAAAACTTCTCTGTTCCTAATATAACATTATAGGGGAATAACTAGCATCTTCAACGTAACGCCCGCCAACGATCCCTAGCTGTCCTCAAGCCGAGCCTGCAAGCACAGCACACTGCTACAAGCTCGCATTCGTCGTGAGGCCTCCCTAGCCAGGATCGCGCAGGGCTGCGAGCTCGGGGAGTCTTCAGTCTTGGTAGATGCGGTTGGGCATGCTCTCACCGCCATCCTCATCATGGATAGACCGAGAGTCAACTCCAATGGCCTTCTTTGCCTACAGGTGGCAGTAGACACTGCTATATTATGTGGGCCTTCTCACAAACGCCGATATCAACAGGGCAACCAGGTCCCCCCAGCGTCACATCATCGTGAATACGCGTGGAACGCGAATTAGCCGTTTCGCGGAGAGAAGCATAGCCAAAAAGGCAAAGGCTAGGTGTTTTCTTTTGAATTCCCCCCGATGCGAGAGGGATGGCTTACATCTAGGGCTCCCGGCATCCAAAACCTGCGCAAGGCTACGACTTTTTAATCGATTATATCTCACTATTAAGGTCTTTGATAAATTCAAAATTTCAAAAAAAGAAATGTAAGCCTGGGTATCATATGTGTGAGTGTGTGGACGAGTGGAGAACGTTGGCCGCTGTATTTCCCAGCTACATACTGTACAGCACCATCTATCCAAGGTATAGTAAATACCTAACAGCCAAGTTTCGCCCACAACTTGTCCCAAGATCTGACTCTCATAAGGATAACCCAAGTGCCCATACGTGCTGACAAAAAAAACCTCTACACTACTCTCCTCAGTATTCTCAATAATCTAGAAGTTTTTTTTTTGAACCAATATTATACCTTGGTGGAGGAGTATAGTCACTTAAAAAGGCTAATTCCTCGTGCAGGTTTTGATTGGCAGAGCTTTTCTAGAACAACCTATCCAAGAGAAACAGTTTCGTCTCACTCCTCACTAACCCCGAGAACTGCCAACGCCCCGAAATTAATTGGCAAAGGCTCTGAGAAAGGTCCTGTCGAGAAAGGCCCCGCTCCCCAAGTTTACTCGGTGAGCCTTTCAAGGCTTTCCCGCCTACGCCATCCGAAGAAATCTCTCTCCATGCTGGCGATGCCGAGGGGCATCCGCTGTGACCTACCCCTAGTCTCCTGTCTCGAGCTTAGCGTTTTTCCATGAGGATTTTCACGAGAGCCAGTGGTTGGCCTGGAGGCCCCTCGCCTGGAGAGAGCCCGGACTCGCTGTCCTCCTGGATCTTTGAGGGTCCCCTTCGAGAGTCGGCGTCCCATGATGAAAGCTACTCAAGGTGTTCCCCAGATATACAGCACTACGGATCTCACTGGGGAGAGAGCAAAGGATCAACGTGAACTCCTCCCTCTTGCTCCTTTACCTGCTCCTCGAAATGGATAAAATGGTAACCTAGAGGTTAATAACCAACACTAAATTCCTGGTGCTAGCATGACGGCCTCTAAAATCCCACCTTGAAGCCCAAAATCTAGAAAAAAGCCCCAACACCCCAATTAGCGACCAGAGGCTCCGCTCGCCCCCCAAATCCTCCATGCATCTTAGCACCCAAACGCCCAAACAATAGCTCCAGTTCAAAATTCCCCCCACACACACACCGAGTGACGCGTTATGATGAATCAACATTGTGAACCCCTGCTACCACCCAGCAGTGGCCAAACCAAGCTACACCGCCATATCAGGTATAAATTATCCAGGTGAAACAGGGCACCAATTAACACGTCAAGTTCTACAGTACGAGTAGGGGTATCCACATCGCCAACACACCACGCGCCCCCTCCGTCAACCGTCTTGGCGCCACACAACGCCCCAGCCACGCCACATGAAAAAAGGGCCATCGAGCTTCACACGGAAATTTTTGCAAGGCAATAATTTAGGCAAACCGGATTTCCAATGACGACAACGAAACCGTTTCCAACCTGCCTGTGTGGATATTGGCGGTAGGGCGCCTACGAGTACAAAGTGGCTACCCTACGAAGGGCGAGAGAGAGAGACATGTACAGTACTGTAGAAAGAAAGAAGAAAAAAAAACAAGGTGGAGTCATAGAGTGGGGAGAAGAAAAAACTCGTTACGTGGGGAAAGATATATTCTCCATGACCGGTGGTGTGTTCTGGAAGAAGAAAAGAAAAAAAAATTCTCTCTCAAAAAATAATTTGTCATGGTGGCGAGAATTTTTCATTCCGGGTCTTGGCGGGTTCGCTGGATGCTATGCCCGAAATGGGGGAGATGGAATACGGGTTATCGCATCGGAACCGAGAAGGTGAAGATGTGTGGAGCAATTTCGGTGGCGAGATTGGAAAAAAATGGGTGTTTCGTCCTCTATGGGGGTTTCTTTTCGTGGGGAGTAATCATATGATATGGTCGAGCGATTTGTGGATTTGTCCTAACGGCGAGTGATAGCTCGAGATTCTGTCGTGATGCATTGTACTGTACTGTACTTGCGTGACTTGTACAGTACTGTACCGGTTACTGAGCGGACCCGCGGGCAAGTTGTATCATAGAACTATTCCTTCCTTCTTCCCCAGGGGGTTCTATCCAGCTCCCGGGAAATCAATCATTCGCCCACCATAGGATTTTGGTTAGACGGGTTGAAACGCATTCAGTTGGGGCACGGGCATCATATCGGTGGAAAACATAAACCCCGAGATTTACTTATAGGATTTCAAGAAACACCAAAGGAACCCAACAAACTTTATATCATCATAGTGTATACACACACTGGGCCATTACACCAAGGAAATATTAACTTATAGATGAGTAACCTAGAAGATACACTAATACAATTAGGACTTTTTACTCGACTTTTGTCTCACTCAGTCTTATGATACTTGTAAACAGAGTCCGGGGGGTTCCCCACCAAAGTTTAATTCAACCTACTCCTCCTCCTCCTTCTTCTTCACCCGCCCTCGACCTGGCCGCCCTGGCCGCTCCAACCGCTCCATATACTATGCATACGCCGACTGGAAGCGCATTCTAGCCTCACAGTTCAACCTTCCATACACCGTCGAAGCTCTAAATGCAAGGTGGAAAAAAAAAAGTGGAGTGCATAAAACGCCTATGTACAGAAATCCAATCGCTAGAGGCTTTCTTTATCTCCCCCCCCCCCACCGCAATACGAGCAGCACAATGTTCTCAGCGGAGGAACCTCACGCCCAAGTTAAAACGAGGCTAGGAGTGCTCATGTAACGTCACCCTCGTATCGGTATCGTGCATACTAATCCGCGTGCACACACACTCTGCTCGGTTTCATTTGCACTATCTCGTATCAGCGTTTTATCCTACACGGGTTTGTGTCGTGTACTCGAGTACACGTCTCAAATTAGGCCGTTATTATTTATACAGTGCTTTATCGGGCACTCTATTATGGATTACAAGTAGTGTGGTAGTATGATAGAGATAGTAAAGAGATCTATCCCAAGTGTATCCCAGAAAGTAATATAGGCCCAAGTAAAAAAGAAAAACGCCAGAACGCCAGAACGCCAGAACGCCGGTTTAAACCCCCTCTACCCCCCCATCCTATGATAGCCCAGCCTGTGGGGGAGAACTCTAGACCCTCATGTCCCCCAAAAACCCTAAACAAGGCTCGGAGCCTCCCGTCCGTACCTCCAACCTCGCCCTATCTGCAACAACCCCACCCCAATCATTCCCTCCTCCCTCCACCTCCATCTCCTCCTCCTCAGAAACGTCGGCAAAATAGCCAGTATCCTCACTCCCGATACTCCCATACCCCCACTCACCACCACCATACCCCTCACCATCAAAGTCCCGCTTTGGCCTTTGCCCCACAAAGTAAGCCCAAAAATCGATCAACGGCCTCAATATCGAAAAACACATGCTGCTGCATGAGCGAGAAGGGGGAAAAAGATGCGGCAAAAGGATAGGGTACCGGTACTGTTGACGGACTGATGAATGGACGGGGAGGGGGAAGGCTATTTAGAGCAACCGGAAGCTAGAAAAAGGGTGGGTTGTATGGTATCATATGGTAGGTAGACACCGGGAACAGGCAAATCCCCCGCGTGCATTGTTGACTCACGAAACGTGATACGCGCGCACACACGTGATTTTTTTTTTTCCCCGCCGTGAGGCGCATGATTTGCTGAGTGCACTGGAGTCTCTGCTCACATGGAACTGGGCAGTTATGGCATGGCATCGGAGTGCACCGGTCAGTTTGGTATGGAGGTCAGGTTTCGGTCACCTTACTCTGGGGGAACACTGTACGAGTAATGGAGGGTCGGGTTGATCATGACAATGTTGTCAGCCGAGTAACTAGGTTAGAATAGTATGTATTGGTGATCCTGACACCGCACTTTACTGACATTTCGGTATTATCGACCCGGCCTCGCAGGTGTTTATGTCATGGAGTTAGTCTAACCACCGCAAGAACTCGAACAAACGGTCCATGTGGTAATCAAGTACCGGTACCAGTATTATATCATAGTCCAAAATCTCCCTTCTGGAAAAGGGGCAAAAGACACACCAGAAAACCCGTTTCCGGGAACAAACAAAGGAGGAAAAGAAATGCCAGACATACTGACGTCTTTCCACAGGATCCGCTGGTTCAAGCTCTTGCGGAGGGAGATGAATATGGAAAATGGCGATGCTTCAAACTCGTGATCCGTCTCTGGCGCATTCGCTGTCACCTCCACTCCATAATCACATCATGTTCCGGCGATTCCCAGATCTCGATTCTATTCGCTGCATGATTTCGTACATCCGACACACCAATACCAGCCGAGAAATTGGAGCCAAGAGGCCAAAGACGGAGGAGTGTGGGACCCATAAATTGATCAAACGTATCAGCGCATCGAGGGGGTTGATAAATTTGACAATGGGTTGTTGTGCCACCAACCATACCACCCAACCTCTCCACACCACACCCTGCCCCAACCAGCACACCAGATAGCACAGCCAACCGCAAAATACGTTCAGGTCAGCGAGCAGTCACCGAGTTGGATCCTTCGATCCTCAGACGGGCGGCAACACTACTCCGTATAGTTTGTCCTCTTACAAATAGCAAGTGTCCCCGACCAACTCCAACCTCCCTCATCATACATCGACCAAATTTTCCAAGTGCATTCTTCAAACCTTCTCTCGGACGCACTCCCCACTTCACACTCAACTCTACTCCCTTCTCACTTGACACAGCAACATTTAACAATCCTCCTCAGAACTACTGCTCGCTTCTCCTTCAGCTTTTCACAAATCAATCACAAATCAATATCACTCCTCCAACATGACGGGAATCCTCAACTTTCCCACCCCATCGTCCTGTCCGAGGGCCGCAGGAAGACGTCGAAAGTACTGCAGCACCCGCGTAATACCTTCGCTCCGGCGACACGAGACCATGTTATTCGGCTCCCTCAAACCCGTCGCCTGCCAGTCGCAAGAGAATGCGCCAATGTACTTTGACGGGTATGAGGATGAGGACGTGGACATGGCCCTGGCAAGCCTTAGCAGCGGCATGAATTCGTCGCAGGAGAGCGTCGCATTCCCAGAGGGCTAAAGTGGGGGTTTTTTTTTTTTCTTTTCCACGGTGGATGGATGTGGATTTCGCGTTAAACGACAAGGGATGGGAATTGGAATGACAGTGCCCCCCGCTTTTTTGGCGGAGGGCTCGGGAACGCGCCATCACAATGACCACAAAGCGGAGGCGGTCGGATTACCATTCGAATAATATCATACCGCGATCGATTGCTCTACGCCGACACTTTGAGAGAGAGCAATGGCCAACAATCATCCGGGCTCCAACTCTCCAGAACACCTGAGTGAGCTTTCTTCCTCTCCTCGCCTCGCTTCAGGCCCCTCCGAGTAACTAGTAACATGCGCGCGCCACCGCCACCTCAACCACCTCGCTCCCGGTCGTTTCAATTCACCTACGATACCGTCGAAAATTTTTTTTATCTCTCTCAAACATGCATAGCAGGGTGTAAATGGCTCATATCATGTACTATATTTTCTCTCTCTTAAACTCTGTATCGCATTCATACCCGGTATGCATTGGTTTCTTTTCTTCTCTCTTCTTTTCCCTTTATATTTCATTACTGTACCGTATTTCATTATGGGTAATACGGGTGGGTTTGTACGAGTAGGAGTTATTCTATTTTCTTTCTTTTCCTTGTTGCTTTTCTTCCTTTTTCTTCCTTTTGTTTGTTCTTCTCCCTGGCGTACGTGTGGGGGGGATGTTGTTTTTGCCTTTCGATTAGGGGATTCTAGAATTCATTATCAATATTATCATTATCCACGAGTTATCATAACCAAAATTTTTTTATATATATCATACTCAATCATTCCCCCACCCCCTCCATTTCCATTTGGGGCTCCTACAGCTCCCACCTAGACTAATTATTATCATCAGCCGTCCCTTTCCGTCCTTATCAAATACCGGTACGGTTAATCCTCGTGACTGTCTCACTCATTGCGGTTGCCCCCGCCAACGTCGCGCATGACTCACTCCACCCACACACACACACAAGGGGGGCTGTGCAAAAAAGTGAACGAATTCTCGAGTGATACAGTATGAAGTGCCGTCGGATTAATTATTCTTCCAAGCGCGTGATGAGTATGACGGTCGGTGGAAGCGACCGGATTAAATTTACTCTTAAGTTCCGGGGCGAAGTTCTGTCTGACGATGCGAAAGCATGATGAATTTACGGTTAGGAACGGGTACCCTACTGCGAATTGGCTCACTTCTGACAAATGTACAGTACCCTACCTCTGACCAAGATGGGAAATTTGCTGTGTTGCTGTACTTGTACGAGTAGACTAATGTAATGTGCGGTGCCTAGCGTGACAAGTTATCGTGTTCGATATTGCTGGCGATATGAACCATAGACTACTGCTATTGTCCCATCAGGACCTGTCCTGCGCAGCAGAGTAGGGTATCGAGCAAGTTCCAGTCACATATCCCGAGTGAAAACACACATGAAAAAGAATGAATCAATCCGAGGTTCTTCTTCCACTCCTCCTCCTCTCACGGAGGAAAAGGAAAAGGAAAAGGAAAAAGAAAAAAAAACACCCCTTACAAGTCCTGACTCACTTCGCGCGCGCGCAACTCCAACTCCCCAAATCTCGATTCCAGGGGCGGTGCAAACTTATCCTCGCTTGCCTTGAATGGCCAAATGATTCGAAAAGCGAAAAATGAGAAAAGGGAGGGGGGAAATATGACTTTTTTGTTGGTACTGTACTGTACTCGTACCGTACCTGATCGACGGCGGTGCCATCTTGTGTTACATATAATAACATTGGTGGTTTGCCCGGGGGGGAGGGGGTTCGGCGGATTGGTCGGTCGAGTTAAGCTTACGCTAAGTCTACCCGTTGTTGGGTGGGAGATGCGGGGCAGGGGCGGATATGGTAGGGTGTATGATTGTTGATGTATGAGTATGATAATATACTCCTACAACTCGCTTGGGAGTAGGGGAGGGGGCGAGATTGATAGGTGATACCAAGACTTACCCTAAGTCCATGTCGCTGGAAGTATAGTTGTGAGTGTATATATATTTGATAAGCGCTTTTAGTGGAGTGTTGTTTGGGCTCCTGGATACCATGCCGCCACAATATTAAATTTATAACTCCCGTTTCCTTCGGAATAGGATAGGGTTGCTATTGTCAATGGAGGTTCTTCCCCCTCCCCCATCTTCAAACTTCTAGCCCTAACCCTTGACCATCTCACCAGCCTTGACAAGCATATCATACCCCATCACATCCTATCCCCAATTAGACAGACAGACAGATGGACCCCCGACTGCAAGAGCGCGTAATCAACGACAACCTAATGCCAGCGCACACTCCCAACAACTGACGTCGATAATGCCTCACTCACCCATTCCAGCCCATTGGAGCAAGATTTGCGCGTGCGGTATCATACTTCACGTACTGCTGGCACAAATGTTGCCTAGGTTGTGATAAAGTTGACCTTGGCTACGTTGATGTACTGTACCGGTACCCTACTGCGCCGCGGTTGGCAGCGGGGTGGCTCTCTATCAACGGACCCACCTCCGTGACAGCCTTGCTGTGGTAGAGCCTTCCTGGAAAGGGGGCGGAAAGGGGGTTTAGGCGGGCGTGGAAATAGGTAGGAAATGCGGAATCTGTGCATTGACGAAAGCGTGCCAGGGTGGGTACGACAGGAGGCTGCCAGGCGTTGGTGACTTATTTGCTGGCCAGTGGGAGGGGATGCCGAGCAGCTTCTCCCAGTTGCCCGTATCTGCCCGAGAAATTTTATTTTTCCCCATTTTCGGCTGCTTTTTGGCCAGCCTTGGCCTTCCAGCACACCGGTCTCGGGGTGTTTCTTGGTACTATACGATACACTTATGACATGATATCACGTGAAAAACTACAATGCGAGTGATAGATTATGATTTGTTGTCGCGATCGTCTGCTTACAGCTTGATAAGAGAAAAAACCATCATACCCCTAGTGAGATCAAGAACCCGGGCACGTGACGACGGTGCAACCGAAAAAAGCCAGAAAAAGTGGCTTTGGCGGGGGTTCGCCACCTCTCGGAAAGTGTTGGACGTTTGAGGAACGGGTTCTCGAGTACTATAGTTAAGACACGGCAGACCAATCTATAACCTACTCTCAAATACCTTAGGTTCGTCAACGCTTTGGGAGTGTCCGGGTTATTAATCTCACCAGGAGTGGGCTAGAGTCGATTCAGTAACTAACAATGAAATAATGTGCGTCTTCGCACCACCCCTCCAACAAGGTTTGACTCCCTGGCCTGAAGGAGTTTATTAAGGAAGATATCCATGAAAGCCGTGTGAAATGTAAACAGATTATGCACCTTATGCGTCGGCGGGGCCACCCCTCTTTGGAGGCCCACCTCCACGACCTCTGCCACTTCTGAAGCCCCCGCCCCCGCCACCCCCACCCCTACCCCCACCTCCGCTATTTTTCCTGCCCTTCTGTTGCGAGTCACCCGCCGGCGCAGTAGGTACACCCACCATGGCCAAAGAAGCCTGGGCTGCGGCTGATATAGCGCCGCCTCGCGGCGGCCCTCCTCCACCCCTTCGATGGCGCCCATTACCCTTCGGAGCTGTAGGCACGCCGTCTCGATCGGGGCCAGCGACGCTCGCTGCAGGCCCAGTCGGTGGTGCTACGGAGCCTTCTCTTTTGAGTAGGCCTGGTGCTGCCGATGGTTCGGGAATTGGTGTCGGCGCCGAAGGGGCGGACGCGTTTGAAGGCAACTTCTTCAGGATGGCTACTGGTGCTACTGGCGGTGATGCGGGCCCGGGCGTAGTTGCAGATGAATTAGAAACAATGCTGTCTTCGCGCTCCGGCCGACGGCCATTACTACGGCCACCACGCCGTCTTGGTCGTGCGGGTGATTGGGGTTCCGGATTGACAGGTGTTGGGGGCGTGACAGTAGCCACTGGGGCACCATCGGTGGCGCTGGTAGATGTTTCAATTGTGGAAGGCGTTTTTGCCGCGTTGCTAGAGCGTCTTGTGGAGGTAATGATGCCGAGATCGCGTTGAAGAATTGCTGCAACACTGGAAACACCCCCTCTGTCTCTGCGGCGTTCACGACCCTTCTCCTTTTCCTGGGATTGCCCTTTCTCCAACCTCGAACTGTTGCCGGCGGGGTTGCTCCCTTGCCTCGTCAACGTTCCTGGTTGACCCGAGTTTTGTCTGGAGAGACTGCCGGATAATCCCGAATTTTGTCTTGATAGAGTACCAGAAATTCCGGAATTCTGTCGCGATAGGATCGTAGTGCTGGTGCTCTGTCGAGACAGCGGGCCTCCGATGGGGTTCTCGCGCTTCAGGATGGTAGCGGCTTCCATATCAATGGCTTGGACAGCTCGTTTAATGGCCCATTCATCCTTTTCATCGATGCGGGGGTCCCTCTCCTTGCCCTTGGCACGGGATTTCTCGAGTCTCCGCTTTTCGCGCTTTGTGGATGAGGATTCTTTATTTGGCTTTTCAGTTTTGAGGCTTGCCTTGCTCAAACTAGATTTATCGGAACTTCCATTCTTGTGCATCCGGAGATACTCGATTAGTGGGGTTGTCTTTGGTTTGTCAAGTTTCTCAACCACAGGCAGGGGAACCGATAATGGGTCGTTCGCTGGTATAGTAGTTGGTGTGCTGACCACTTCGCCGGGCTGAACATTGGTAGACGTATGGGTAGTAATTCCATCGGTTATGGGGGTAGGTGTAGAAGCAGCCTTTAATGATGCCACAAATGCTATGAAATCGGGGTCGGACTCGATAGTGCCGGCGCGGGCATCGATACGTACCGATCTCTTTGGAGCTTTCTGGAATGGAGAGTATTCCATTTGAGGGTTGGTTGTGTTCCCCTTGCTATCGGTAAAAGGGCCATGTAGGCGCAGTCCCTCGCTAAGAGCGGTGATTTGTAGAGGGTTCTTGAACTTGATGACGCATCGTGAATCTTTGGGTGCTTTTGTACGTCTAAATTGTGGAAGAGTGAGTTTGGTACATGGAAGAAGATGGATGGGAGGGGGAACATACTCCTCCGGTATCTTTCCCTGAACCCAAGAAGCCCATTCTACAGTTTCCTCGTTTATGTATTCCGCCATTGCACCCTTGAACTCATCCTCCTTTATCAAACTTGGGAGATGGCGAACAACGACTTTGAGGCGAATTGTGGCGGGATTGTTACCGGAGCTGGCCTTAAGGAGGGGTCCACTACCACCTCGGGATTTCGCTTTTGCGATGGTAGGCGAAGGGGACGCCATTTTAATCTCTGGGAGTCAAGTCGGGAGAAACTCTAGAGAAAGAAGAGAAAGAGAACGACCGTGGATAAGAGAGGGGGAAGAGGACGAAAGGTGATATGTATAGTGGGCTACGTATGCTCTCGTCCTGGTGGTGAAAACAAAAATTGGTTATGTCAGGTCTGTCGGGGTATTTTCTGTGCGCAATTCCGAATACTATGCTTACCTAACCCTGGTAACCCGAGAAGGCTAGCCTACCCATCCGCTAGGACTCTCGAACCCAATGGGGGGGGTGTGGTTTTGTGTGTGGCGTTGGATGGGATCGTGTTCATTGCATGTAGGTCTCTCTCCCGACAACCAAAACCTGCTCTTGAGGCCAACTTGATCCAAAATCTCTAAATCGGGAATTGCCTCTTCTCTAGGGGGTTATTGCCATTTCCCTTCAGGTGCAATCGTTCAAATAATCAGCTAGAACCGGTCTATCATCTCTTTTTTACCCAAGGTCATACATGAAGTCATGGCTGATGGTTTCGTTTTTGGAGTCGGAGTTGAAGATGTTGCACACCTTTATCAAACAGCCCATTGCAACGTGGTCTCAGTTGTTGATCGATCTCGAGCACATTGGAGGGTAGAGGGATTCTCTACGAAATTGCCAGGGGAATCATTTTCTAGAGCTTTTCTATTTTTCGAGCGCTGATAATCCACTTTCAGTGTGCCTGCGTCTTCCAAGGGCGGGTTTTGGCTGACTCGCACCATATCGCGCCCATGTTGCAATAATCCTGATGCAATAAGCGATATGGATACCAGGGAGCTGGTCACAAATATGATTGGATGTTACTTTACGATACAAAGAGAGAAGCGCCTCGCTTCTCGAACGAGGGGAAATTACTTTGGGAGGGCGAAATTTCGGAATCAGTGACACTCTAGCTTTTTCAGGAACGGGCAACCAATTAATGCGTGGCCAGGCGGCAGTTATCATACGGTAAAATCAGTCGACTGGTTTTTGTGCCGGATGAGGGTTGATGGTGGATATGGGGGCTCTTTTTCCCACAACTCGGCTCGCTTCTAGCTGTGATCTCAGCTGTGATCTCTCAACTCCCCTCACGCCTCATTTCGTTACCACAGTTACCAACGATACATCACCAGCATAGTGCAGCACAAACAAAGCTCTCTTCCCTCATCCTTGTCCAGCTGTGTGAGTTTCAGAAATTCTCCGTCACTTCCGCCGCCTTCGCCGTGGCCATTTTCCAGATTGGGACCTGATCCCCTTATCCCCTTATCTTGTCATTATTTCAAGATCTAATCTAAGATTCATCTCTCCCAATACTCCCTGCCGTCAATACCCAAACCAAACACCCCACGCCGTCATCCGAAGCTATCATTCTCCCCCTTTCCGCCTTTTCTATAACGATACCCTAATCAGCAGCCATATCCTTCAAACAGCTTCTACCGCCTTTCCTTCCCTTCTCAGCCGCTCTTACCACATCACCCTCGGGTTCCCCCTCCCCCGCTGAAAAGTCATCGTCATCGTCGTCATATTCCGCTTCCGCATCCGACAAACTTTCATCGCCGAACAATCCAACCCCTTCGGATACTGCGTCATCAACTTCCACTGCGAATATGAGCGTTGGTGAGAAGGGTGGAGGAGCCGCAATGGCTACCGGTGGAGGTCCGGATGAGTGGCTGGAGATGGCCAAGAAATGTAAATACCTGAGTGAAGGTGATATGAAGAGACTTTGCGAGCTTGTGAAGGAATGCTTGATGGAGGGTTTGTAGTATCCTTACCCCCATCCTTCTTGTCACTCTTACCCTCCTCTCCTTCTGAAGCTTCGCTGTCCATGACAATGTCATGTAAGTAGTTTTTTTAAAAAGAATAAAGGGCAAAAACTGAATTAAGGCTTCGTCTTGGTGCATGGGCAGAGTCAAACATCCAACCGGTATCTACGCCCGTCACTGTTTGCGGCGACATTCACGGCCAATTTTATGACCTGATGGAGTTGTTTCAGGTCGGTGGGGGTCTCCCGGATAAGGTGAACTATGTCTTCCTCGGCGATTTCGTTGATAGGGGCTACTTTTCCCTGGAGACCTTCACATTGTTGATGTGCTTGAAAGCCAAGTTCGTTCTGCTTCCCCCCCCCTTCTCCCAAAAAAATCACATACTCTGGATACCAGGTCTCGTCCGGCAAGCGCCAGCCACTGATCACTATTCACCGCCAGATATCCAGATCGAATAACTCTGGTCCGTGGCAATCATGAGTCCCGTCAGATAACTCAAGTTTACGGATTTTACGAAGAGTGTCAGACAAAGTACGGGAATGCATCTGTATGGAAATCTTGCTGCCAAGTCTTCGACTTCCTCGCCCTTGCTGCTATTATCGACGGTAGCGTTCTTTGTGTGCACGGGGGCCTGAGCCCCGAAATTCGAACCTTGGACCAGATTAGGGTTGTAGCGAGAGCGCAGGAGATTCCTCATGAGGGTGCCTTTTGTGATCTGGTTTGGAGTGATCCGGAAGGTATGTTTGGTTGGGCCAAAGTATGGGGAATTAGCTAATCATGGCCAAATAGAGGTGGAGACTTGGGCAGTATCGCCCAGAGGTGCCGGATGGCTATTTGGAGATAAAGTAGCAACGGAGGTAAAATATGATCACCTTTAATACCCCTTACTAGCTAACGCACCTAGTTTAATCACGTCAATGGCCTTACCTTAATAGCTAGGGCTCATCAGCTTGTGAACGAAGGATACAAGGCAAGAGCCACACCCTAGGAGATCCCCTCACCCCCACGAGCTAACCTTCCCTTATAGTACCACTTCAAAAACAAAGACGTAGTAACAGTATGGTCAGCACCAAACTACTGCTACCGTTGCGGCAATGTAGCAAGCATCATGAAACTAGAACCGGATCTAAACCCCAACTTCACCATATTCAGTGCGGTCCCCGACGACCAAAGGGTTGTACCTGCCGGTAGAGGTGGACGCGGCGAATACTTTCTGTAGCAAATTAGGAATTGGGATCTGACGAAATGGTATATGAACGCAAAACGGAAGGGAGAAACTTGGGCAGATGATACGGTACGGGGGCTTAGGGGTCAATATTGAGGGAGTCTTGCATAATTTACTTTTTTCGGCTGGTTTGATTTTGCCTCTTCTGGTTAATTTCTGCTCTTTTTCCTCATTACATATCATATGTCACAAATTTGGCGGGGAAATTTGGGAAGCGGCTGGCGATTGGATGGTGCCACCGAGGTATGGAAGGACGAATGGACAGACGAGGTTCCAAAAAATGGGGGGGGGATTTGTAGAACATATTTGCTATCATAATTGGGGCGAAACGTTGGTTGCCTTGAATTCAGATCTCATTTTTTTCTCTTTTCCACGCATTATATCGTATGTGTTGCGAGTGAGGGGTTATGCTTATCTTGTTTTTTTTTGTGAATAGCTCACTTGAGTAGGCAGGGTAATGTTTTGGATGGATGAAACTATGGTATTATTGTTCGACGGGAGGCGGTGTTAAGTTAGATTAGGGGGGCGTTGACAGATGGTACTCGTAGAGGCCGAGGTTGCGTTTGAGGTGTATCACAAGGTACGTGGTGGTGATGGAACTCGTGCCAAGGTTGTGGCTCGGCATCGTTTTGTGAGTCTACTTTACAAAATGTTCTGGTTTATCGTACATTTGTTTTTCCTAGTCTTGCTTGTTTTTTGATACCCATAACTATGATATAAGTTTTGATGTATTTTTTTTTTTTTATATAGACTAGAGTATTTTGGAAAGAAAGTTGGTAAGTACTGGATAGTAGTTGTGGTACTATAGCCTTAACTTCAATACATCTGGATACAAAACAGGATGTTGTATACAAAAGGCTTTACAGAGATCCATTCAAGTTCAATAACAAAGTTCTATATAATTAAGAAGTTGTATTGAGCTATAGAGTTCCATTGAACTACAAAGTTGCATCTGTACTCAGGCTTATGTCCAGCTGTCCACTCACCATAAACTTCAATGTTATGTTCAAGTTGATCTTCAAAGTTATATTGATCTGCTAGTATTATGCTACCTGGAACTGCAAAGGTATATAGAGTTATAAAGTTTCTTTGAGCTTTAACATTATATTGAGCCACAAGGTGTTGAGCTGCAAAAAAATCTATCTTGAGCCACACAAAATTGTGATGAGTCACAAGTCATGTTGAGCTGGCAGGCACTCTTCCGGAATGCCCCAGGTTGGCACCAATATGGCAGTTGGAAGTGCCCGGGGCTTCTTGAGCCTTTCAAGTCGCCCACCTGTCCTAGGGCGTGTTCGGGCGTGTGTGCCCATGGCCGGCACGCCTGTCGGGTGCTCGTGGGTTCGGCAACTCCTGAATGCGGGGGGTGCGGAATGGAAGGCACCAACTTGTACCTAGCTTTTGTTCTTGGAAGCAGCGGACTTGGTCGTTTGGATGGGGTTGTCTTGCCGGGCGAGTATCTGGCGTCAAGTATGATTGATCCGGTCATCTGCGGGTGGTTTGGTTGGGTGGGGCTCTGTTTTTCCCCGGGAGACGGGGAGTTTGATCCGAGGCTGGGATGGGAAATGGTATGATACTGAGTTTACAGATAGTGGGGGTCTTGGTATCTACAGTTATCTGCTATGATAGCAATGGTAGTATGATTGGAGAGGTTTTGGTATCATGCTTGAGGCTGGGACGTGGCATTAGAACAAGGCTTGTGGAGTGGATTTGTCCGTTGTGTTATTCTGATTGGTTAAAATTTTGGGTTGCGCTATTATATCGTAATAATAATATTATTATGATAATATTATTATCGCACTTGCGTTGTGGTATTGGATCGGGTTTAGGGTTTTGGACAGATCTACTTATTACTCGTGCAAGTATGATATAATAATATTATGATATCTGATTCTATGGCATTATATTGGTGGAATATTGGAAGCACGATGAGACCCAAACCATGCTCCCGAACGCCTTCCGTTCAATATAGCTTCCAGGGCTGTAAGAGGTTTGAAAAATTGATAGCATGTGCTCCAAAGTTCTTTCCAATGTTACAGGGTTCAAGTTTACAAAGCACCAAGCCAGGCCATTTCCCATAACAAAAAAATAATAGTTGGGGAATACAAATACACCGGGACCAATGCACCGACCACAGCTATCTCTTGACGATTTGGATACAGAGTTCTAAAGAGTCGTATAAAGTAAAATCTGAGGAGTTGTTTCACATATACAGTTTCCTGGGCAAAAGTGTTCGTGAATCCGTTTAGTCAGACTTCAGGTTCTCACTAGCGCTTTTGCCTAGGGACTGTAGATGAGGATTCCGTTTGGGCTTGCTTCACGGGATCAAAGAACATGGCGGGTTTTCAGCAGAAAACCCTTTTCGCTGCTCATTTTCAGCGCCAGCCTTGTGGCCCTATAATCCAAGTACCATAAGTGAAATACTACAGGTGCCATGGTCATGGGTTCCCAATCTTTTGGGGAATTGCCTTCCATCCCCCCCCCGCAAGTTTCTCACCTTGGCGAACATATGTACGTCAAGGCACCAACCATAACGTGGAAAAGGCCAGTGGGCAGAAATGCCGTTTATTCACCATGGTCTCCTTCTAGTGTCGGATCGCGCCTGGCACCTATCGCGCCTGGCACCTATCGCTTTGCCATGGGGATCTGTCATATCTTGTGAAAGTATCACAGATCCTACCGCCTGTGCCGGGTCACGGGGTAGGAATTCACCCTATCGCCTCCAGGGCCGACCGTCGTCAACCACTGTATCATAGGAAACCTGGACGGCATAGTAGTGTTCAGAAACCGGCGCCCTCGCCGCCGGTAGGCCGGGCCCAGGTGGCATCCCGAATGGTTGTGCTCGCCTCTGCGCTGTATCGCATAGACAGCAGCTGTTCTTGGGTCCAGTAGTTGCTATCATGCCTGGGAGGGCTGGGTGCGCAGGTGCAGGGGTGGGTTCCTTTGCCAAGCACTCTTGGAGATAACCTGTTCCGGAAGGCGGGGGAGTGGGTTGATTGGTTAGATGGTCTCTCTTTTATTTTTTCTGTGATCAAAGGTGGGTGCTTGTTGCTGGTTTCGCAGTGGGAATCGCTGAACACCAAAAATCTGTATCTTGACAGGCGTTGCGGAGCCTTTTCCGCAACGTTAGAGGCTCACGTTTCGCCGGGAATGTAAGCGATTTTCTGGTTAGGTTCGGCGAGCTGCTACATACCAAATCCTGCTCCGATGCGCCTGGCTACCGATATTTTCATTGTTTCGCCCCGTCAATGGAATACTATACCGATCCGGCGCCGGTAAAAGTGTGAACGCCTGCCAGATAGTTTACCGCATTGTCTGGAGACAACCGGCAGGCGCTGATATCGCGCGGGGGAACAGGCAAGAAGTACCGAACATGAGACATTTTTGGTATACTTGTATGGCTAACAGACAAATAACCGTTGTCTCATGTTCGGATAATTCTTGCCTGTTATGATCCTTGTAAGTCGAAATAAGGAACGGTTGAGCTGAAACTTACAATTGCGTAAAGACCAGAGCCCCGAAAGGGTTGGTCCCCGCCATAAAGAGTTAGCCTATGGCGTTTTATTGCCATTTCGAGACAAACCTAGGATAAAAATCTTATTTGATCGTACTAGTGCCTGTAGGTGTCGCCAAATAATGGGGTATGATCCTGTATCGTAACGTTGTTGGTTGGGTGGACAGTTAATTTACTCGAGTATCAGAGAAGAGCCCGCCAAGCAATCTCTGCTTTTGTGGCCTGGGATAGGAGTGCTATTGGTTGGGTTTCATATTATATGTAGCACAGGATCTTGGATTCGTCATGACCTATCACTCCGGATTTCTGTTACCAGATTGCTGGGGTGGAGGATTTCTTCATGATTTCAAATGCTTCCCGGATATCTTTTCCTTCATTTTTGGCTCTGTGTGTTGGAGCGGTGCCTCTAATGGATAGGTGTGCTTGGACCTGAAAAACGGCGGGTCTTTGGTGGAGTGGCATAGAAACTTTGGGCGAGCGCAAAACGTTCAGCTTGAGACTTTCACTTAGGTTCTTTCTGTCTACTGCCCAAGAATCTAAGCCGACGGGTGGATGGTTGGTGGCGGCTGAAGTAAGTGCGCCAGCAGACTGCTAGTTCAACTAGGAAGGATGATTTGGAATATCTAGTGAGCTGGTGGAGGAGTTGTTCTCTATAAAGAGGGGAGCGATTGATAGGGATAAATGTTTAAGGACTCCTGAAGCTCCCGTATTTCTGTTAGAATATTATCATAATAATATTATTATTATGACATTGTTTCCAGGTATGGTGCAAAGCGCCTAACGCGTAGACTACAGTGAGTGGGTGTGCCCATGCAATGCCCGTATTGGCAAAGGGTTGAGGGTTCCAAGTGAAGATGATGACTTTCTGAGGCTCAATAGTTAAGTCTGCTTAATGTCTAGTTATTCTTCATACCTTACACTACTGAAATTAATATAGATCAATTTATTAACCATTTGACAAGTTGGGTATCCATCTATGTGATATGCACTTTCCACAAACCGGCCTCATACTCAGAAAGTCAATTTCGGTACATAGAAACCTTGACCCTTTACCAATAGAGGCATTACATGGGCGCACACATCGTGGCTTATGGCTTTGGACGCTCTGCACGGTAGATTCAACTCAAGAGCACAGTGTATAATGGCGGTTTCAGTTCTCGTTGTACCTGGGGCTCCTCGACCGCGTAATGCCCTTCTCGCCTAGTGCCCTTGAGAAGCCCTACCGTTTTAATTCTGTAGAATTCCTTCCGGTCGGGAGTAGAGATGGAATGCATTAGCGAGGTGAGCGAGCTTGAATGGAAGGATCTTGATCAACCCTTCATAAACCCACCGAGTGAGACACTGTGAACTAACCCTCGGGGGTGGATTTCTCTTTGGATCTAGTGGGTATTCAAGAGAACAATCTAGGATATATCATACCCGAGGTCACAAGAGAGAAACTAAGATGACTGGAGCATCCACGTATTACCAAAGAGTAGTGTGCGGGTAGGGCTGTGGCGGAAAAGGGATAATCCGCGTGATCAATCTGTAGTCTTTCTGCCAAGTGGGAACCCAATACATACACAGTGCGAACGCAAGAACTACCCTTTTGCTTGACCATTGTCCTTAGAGTTTTCATGGATTGTGCTGCCGCTCCAATTCGTTTCTAACCTTGACGCCGACCATGGTTATATTTCACCAGCAGGATTATAATGGAGTGGGGATGCAACTGGGAGTAGGGACTTGGCTGTCGGCGCCTGTATTGGGTGCGAGAGGACATCGGATACTTTCTCCAATGTATTCCCGACAGAGTAGTTTTCTACTTTTACCTGAAGAGCGAGATTTGAGCCGATAGCGTTAACCATTCTCATGTGGAACGGCTTTTCGGTTGCCGATACAGCTGAAATTAGTGGACGGGGATCTAGAGTGTTCCGGTGCAGGTATATTCGACGGGTTGTCAGATCGTGATATCCTAGACCTTGTCCCTCTGGCTTGTGTGAAGAACTTGAAGGTCCTTCCTCATCCATGTAGGGTCCTGCGGGGAATGCATGTCTACAAAAGTGTGATGCTCCCCACAACCTGTAGGCAATTGTCGCAACGGGGATATCTTCTTCCGCTAGCTAGTAGGTGACCATCGGGCTTTCATTTCTAGCTGCAGGTTCTGTAATTATGATACACTCTAACTTTCCAGAATACAGGGTATTGGGATGAGGGTAAGGCACTTTCGGGTCACTGTCCCGGGGAGCTCACGGGAAACCGGATAAGAAACCTATCGTGACCGTGGTAAAGGTGGGGGCATCGATATCCGCTCTGGCAGTAGGGTGTAGTGTGTTCTCAATTACCCGTTTCTCGAGCCGTTTCTAGGAACCGTCACTAGAACTCACTCGTTGAATGATGCCTATCTGGCCATGCATCTGGTATGCATACCTTGATTTCTGTAGGCAAAACGTGTGTAGGACGCCGGGGGATTCTATATATTGTGTCATATCCCGACCGGGAAAGCCGGGGAATTACTTAGCGGAACTGCAGTAACTAGGAGATATAAGGAGACTAATGCGCTACTGATGTCACCGCACTCCATACCTGTCGCTGCCACAGATATCGTCATAACTTTCATTGATATCAGTCATATTCTGGTCCTTCAGACCTTGCTATATTACACTCACTGTCCACTCACAGAGTTCTACAATTCGTTTCAGGGCCGCAGCTTCGCACGAGAGGGGGGTTCTAGCACCACGGCTGGATGACCGAGAGTGTCCGAAACGATCCACAGAACGAGTTGATAGCACATTTTCCTAGTTATCTCAGTAAGGGTAATGATCTGATCTGATTTTCGGAAGGCTACCCTATGCCACATGGGGGTAAGGTTATGAACTTCTGGAGACTAGAGCCCGGGTGGTCAAATACCAGGGCGGTGTGGTGGCTAGGTTCTTAGAGTTGTGTGCCCGGGCATATGGCATATCCGGGGCGGATGGGCACAATATTCACCAGGACCTAGGACAGCCTTCAGCTTCTGGAAATAAGTCTAGGGCGAGGATCAGGATACGGGATAGGGGAATTAGCGTGAGGGAAATAGTCTACTCGAGTAGGTGATGGTGGTCTGGTAGAGTGCTGGGAGCCGGGCTTGGGGGACTCTAGATGTTTTGGCGCTTATTGGACATCATGTGGCTCAATCTTGGGATTCGAGCATCTGCCGTAGAAGCTGTGCTCCCGAGGCGTTACCCTCGGACTGTTGAGACAATCGAGCGGTGAGTTCTTTCAGCTCAGTGGGTTGTGGTAGTGGAGTGGGCGTGATAGACCAATGCAGTACTCAGCACTACCATTGCATTGAGTGCGGTCTACCGATTTCAATTACCCTGGGGGAATTGGGGGGGGGGGGCAAAAGCGAGACTAGTGTTAGCTAAATCTTATCTCTAGGAGCACAAGCCATGACTTTGCACCTTGCATCCCATTAGTGGGCTCGTAGTGTTGATGAGGTCGGTCCCCGTTTCATGTTTTCAACTGTTGATCACATAATGTGCTTCGAAACTCTTTTCGGCAGAATTTACGGCTGAAGACCTGTGAAGTTCGTGTTCAGGTGGAAGGAGAAACAGGAGTATGCAGGGGGAAGAGTGGGGGAGAAGCCATATGAAGGATATCAAGATAATAGCAAGCTGCGGTTGGCCAGAAGCATCGGGGTAGGGGGATGGCCCGCGTCCAGAATTTTGGTGGACTTCTTGAGACTTCCTGGAGGAGAACTGCAGATCAAGGTCACCATCCAGGTTGCTATTCTGTTTCTGCATGATTATTTTTTTAATTTTTTTTCGGGGGGTGATCGAGCTCTAGATTCTACTTACCGTTTGCTCAAGCGCTCTATAAACCGGTGAGACTTTTATCAGACAGGCATGAGAGTAGGAAAGAAGTACAGTACGAGTGCGGCCGATAGATATATCCGTCACGTGAAGCCTGATAAGAATTTTTTGGCAAAGTCGTTGCGTGTGCCCAGATAATGTACGGCACTTGACGGATATATCTATCTGCCGCATCTGTATGATATTCGAATTTTTGGATCCGGGTTCGGTATGAGGGCTCGTATAGGGGCAGGTGATTGGCCACGTATATATTCTTTGGTTCCCTTGCTCTGGTAATGCGGGGGTGGGCAAGAGTGTTGGTATCATAATTGGGTACATTTACACCAAAATAACCTCATTTTGAAGGGTTCTCGCCAGGATCCTACACCGAACCTAGGCGGAAAACTTTCCCAAAACGATCCAAGTGGTTATAAATGCGTTGTAAATATTATCCTCCAACTCTTTAGATGGGTTTCTGACTTCCCCCTCCCCCTCACCATGATACAGCCTGTTAAATGTTGGGGCATGGTTGTGAAGCGCTGCCCAAGTGATTATCGTAGCAGATTGATGATAGTCAGGACCTTTGGGCAATGGTAGAATTTTATGGGCTTGTAGGACCTTTAGTTGGTGATAGGCATACTTCAGGTTAATCATGAGATGTTGTGCACATGTAATGACTTTGGATCAGGAATTTTCGGACTTTGGCCCACCTGCCTTACCTGCCTACTTGTCACCTGCGCCCCTTGGTCAAGCTGGACACGATTTAGTCTACTCATAGAATCAATCGGTCAAATTGGGCAGCACCTTGACAAAGGTTGATCTCAGATAGCCGGATTGGGTTGATCGCAGGTTAATACGAGCCTGGGGCTTCTTGGTCGCAGTTAAAGAGATAGCCACATTACTTTTCTGTTCAGCACTTGGCTTTCCGGGGAGTCTTTGCCTCTAAACGGAGGTTAGAAAAAGGACTCTTTTTTCTTTTCTTTTTCCGTGATACTCAATCTGGAAAGTCAGGGTGTTAGGGGTATGATAAAAAGTCTACCGTAGCGGAAAGGAAACAGACCTAGAGCAGAGCCGGGAACGGAAGAACCCCGGATTTGCGACTGATCAATCGCCAAGTGTGCGGTTGGCTCTTGCTCCGCTAGCCAACTCTGGTATCATTTCAGTAGATCAGCCTGCTATTCATGCAGCGCCTTGACGTTTTCGTGAGAGTCCCATTGTGGCAAAACACGTTACACTACTACTCGAGTACTCGAGTACTGGTACTCCAAGACAAGTGTCATCCGCCTCTGTCGTCATGCAGATTCAACCGCTCACACAAGTCACACAGCGACCCCAATTTGGCACGGGGCGCTGCGAGAGAGGAACAGCCTTTAGTCTACAAGTAGATTCGTCTACTCTTGTCCTACTCGACGACGGAGCGACGGAGCAGGTGTAAATTACAGTAGGGGGATGCAGGGCATGGCCCTGTTTTATTCCATCGTGGATAAAGTAGGTAGCCCGTTATTACGCTCTGGAGACGTAGAGACATGACCTATTGTATTTTTGTCAGATCTGCTGGGGAACTCGGGGTTAGTTTATGGTTGAAGAGAGTACTCGTACAGGTACAGTACAGTACTCGAGTAGACTACCAGTAGCACAGCATCATAAGATGCGGTACGGTTAGAGCTGGTTGGAGATGGAATCTTACGGCTCGAACCAGGATCACGAGTGCTATTAAAGTAACTGTGTGCGAGTAAGTTAGATGGGAAGGATGGAGGCGATGAGACAGCGATGAGACATGTTTTGGTAGGGCGCAACCGAGTGCGGTAAGCTATGATAAGTTACCGCGGGACTTGTCCGCCATTTAACTTATCCTCTCACCTTATCATAGTCTACCGGTAGACTATCTCGAGCTCTGCAACCTGTCGACTTCCCGGTGCCAGGTGCTTACTCAACTCAAATGCGATACCGTAATATGGGCACCCATGCCGTACGAGTAGTTGCAGATTCTGGTGAACTGCTGTCACCCACCTCCCCTCCCCCTCCATTCGGCGTTAGAAGCGAAAATGATATTCTAATCATTCTCGAGCACATTGTGGTGTATATTCGAATACTGTGCCCGGTGCGGAGGAGGGGCCCGTTGATGGGTGCCTATAACGCCGGCATAGGTCGATTCATACCTTCTAAATCACTCGCACTTTAGCTCGATGTACAGTACCATTCGCCCATGCTTCTGTAGGCATCCAGATGGTGTCTCCTTCTCCACCCCTCCTACCTTACCGCGACGATATACATTGGGCAATCTGTGCAGACAAGCGGTCCCGATTTAAATATTAATAACTGCATCCACCACTACGAGTACTCGAGTAGGGAGACCACAGCATGAACTGCTCGGGCAACTTTGCACCTCAAGTTGGCTCCGAACACCCCACTGCCCCGCAGTCTACTCGAGTACTGCTGTTGCACTCGAACTGTTGTCGTAGACTATCGAATGTAGATTACAGTACCATACGATAGTAAAAATCGAGGACTGCCCCGCCCCCCGCAGAGTATGGTACCAATTGTTTGCCAATAGCAACGGACCCCTCCTCGGCTATCCCTTCTCGTGTTTGATCCCCTCTCCTCATTCTATCCCAACTGCCCGTCCCATCCTTTTCCAATCCTCTCACTGCTCCCACACCCTAGTTATATTCTTCCTCTCCTCGCCCTTTTCTTTCCACCCCCCCTCTCTAGATTAACCACCCACAAATACACTCCACCACATCACAAACTACGCCTCCATCATGTCTCTGTCCATCAACCTTGAGCTCCCTAACGGTGTCAAATACGATCAACCTCTTGGATTGTGGGTTCCCTTACTTCTCTGTAGCATTCATTCAATTGAGCTCAAATTTGCTCCTTGGATTCCGTTAATACCTTCTCCCCTCCCAGGTTCATCAATGGCGAATTCGTGAGGGGTGTCGAAGGCAAGACCTTCGAGGTCATCAACCCAAGGTTTGTCGATTATCCGTTGTGGTGTTGGAATGATGGCTTCTGATGATGTCATAGCACTGAGAAAGTGATTTGCTCCGTCAATGAAGCAACTGAAAAGGTCAGACGAGCCCCTTTCAAAAGCCTTTCCACCTCCGCTAAGCTTCTTACTTTGCCATAGGATGTCGACATTGCAGTACGTGCTGCTCGTGCAGCCTTTGAGGGGGAGTGGCACAAGGTTACCCCCGCCCAGCGTGGCAAGTTCCTCTGCAAACTCGCAGATCTCTTTGAGGAGAACCTTCTCACGTTAGCCTCCGTGGAGGCGCTGGACAACGGAAAGAGCGTTAGCATGGCCAAGGGCGACGTCGGCGCTGCCGCCGCTTGCCTGAGGTACTATGGCGGATGGGCCGACAAGGTCCACGGAAAGGTCATTGACACCGAACATGGAAAATTCAACTACACAAAACAAGAGCCCATTGGCGTCTGTGGACAGATTATCCCGTAAGCCCCCTGGGACACTACCTGATTGCGGGGGGTATTCGCTAAAACACTTGCAGATGGAACTTCCCGATCCTTATGTGGGCATGGAAAATTGGTCCTGCCATTGCCACCGGTAATGTTGTTGTCCTCAAGACTGCGGAGCAGACCCCCCTCAGCGGCCTGGTGGCCGCAGAGTTGGTCGCTAAGGCTGGATTCCCTCCCGGTGTTATCAACATTCTCTCCGGTTTCGGTAAGACCGCTGGCGCCGCTATTTCCTCCCATATGGACATCGACAAGGTTGCCTTCACTGGATCAACTATCACAGGACGTACCATCATGAAGGCTGTTGCAAACAGTAACCTGAAGAAGGTTACCCTGGAGCTTGGTGGAAAGAGCCCCAACATTGTGTTTGACGATGCCGACATCGATGAGGCCATTAGCTGGGTCAACTTTGGTATTTTCTACAACCACGGACAATGCTGCTGTGCTGGATCCCGTATCTACGTCCAGGAGGGCATCTACGATACTGTCGGTTACCCGCCCACACACCTAAATCTGCCTCCGAGACATCAGCTAACGTGTCCCATAGTTTGTCGAGAAGTTCAAGAAGAGAATAAAGGAGAACGTTGTTGGAGACCCATTCGAGAACGAGACCTTCCAGGGTCCTCAAGTCTCCCAGCTCCAGTTCGACAGAATTATGGAATACATTGAGCACGGAAAGAAGGAGGGAGCCAAGATCGAAATCGGTGGGAAGCGCCATGGAGACGTTGGCTACTTCATCGAGCCTACCATCTTTTCTAATGTAGATGAAAGTATGAAGATCATGCAGGAGGAGATTTTCGGCCCTGTTGCCTCTATTGCCAAGTTTAAGACTGTGGCAGACGCCATTGCTCTTGGTAACAAGACTACCTTCGGCCTTGCTTCTGCCGTTCACACCAAGAACCTCGAAACTGCTTTGACCGTCGCCAACAGCTTGAAGGCTGGTACCGTTTGGGTCAACACCTACAACACTCTCCATGCGGCTCTTCCATTTGGCGGCTTCAAGGAGTCCGGCATCGGCCGTGAACTTGGAAAGGCCGCGTTGGCCAACTACACTCAGGTCAAGACCGTCTCGGTCAACATGAATGGTGCGCTGTATTAAGCATGTTCGCTCTGGCTTGCCAGTGGGCGTGTGGGAAGGCATTTTTCAGGCAGGCAAAAATTACAGGTCTCCTTGATTTCGCAACCGTTAGGCGTGGCTTTTACTTTCCTCTTTTACTTTCACCTTTTTATCTATTCCTATCGCCTACTTTGTATTGTAAATCTCGATGAAAAACGAAATGGAAATGCCTTGATATATGGATGACGAGTTGAGGTGATGATGAATGACGATATTTGCTTCATCAAAGATCTGGTTGAGCGAACATGACCGCATCTCTTCCCAGAATTCTCCATTCCACGTCCCTAAACTTGACTGCTGAAGTTCTCTTCCCATCTGCTGTCGATAAAACTGCCGAGGGTGATACATTTACGCCACCTTGACCAAGATACGTAGGTGCGACAGTGACAATCACAGAATCCACATGCGGTAGATTTCCCTCAGCGAGCAGATCGTTGATAACTCCACCGCCCCCTTCAACCATAACGCTATTCAAACCAAACGCCCTCATCTTCTCTGATAAGACATCCCAACTCCACCTCCGCTTCCCCAAAGTCTCAATAACAACTACCTTACCCCCAACTTCCTCCAATATCCCCCTCCTCTCATCTCCATCTATCTCCACCTCACTCCGGACAAAAACATAAGGCGCCAGCCCCTCACCCCTCTTCGCTGTCTGCACTACCCTCGACTCCCGCGTAACCCCCCAACGGAATGCGGGATCAAGGATAACCGGCCGTGGCTGCCTTGTCAGCGGCGTCCCCGGCAGACGAGAATTCAACCCTGGGTCGTCTACCACGGCGGTACCGACCCCTACCAGTATCGCGTCGTGGAAGGTGCGGAGGTGGTGAGTCAGGGATTTTGTCTCCGGGCCTGAGAGAGGAAATTGTGTGAGGGGGATGGAGAGATGGGAGTCCAGAGATGTCGCGTAGGTTAAAGTTAGGAAGAATTTTCCCGTGTGCTGAGGCGAGGGGAGGTACTTGTCGATGTCTGGAGGCGGGGGGTAGGGCACCACTGGTGCCATAATATTATTATGATTCTATTCTATGTTTGCTGGTACTGTATATCGTAACGGTAACGAATTTCATATCGAGCGGGGGTGAAGTGGCGGAGGTGGGAATATGATAGATCTGAGTTGTGGGGTGCGACGTTAAAAGAATAGGCAATGATCGACGCGTATAATAAGCCATCGCTTGCCCAAAATTCCGGAAAACCTTTTCAAAATCTCTCTTCCCAAGTTTCCTTCTCCTCCATCTTTTTCATTGACTGGAGAACCTTATTCCACCCGCCACTTGCTTGCTCACTTGCTCCTTTCATCAATCGATAACGAGCCCACTCATCACAAAGCTTTCCTTCCATCTTCCCCTGCACAGCCCCCGAAGTGAGGAGCCGACAAGATGGATAGCATGTCAAACATCATTCGCCTTGTGAATCTCGGCGTGGGGGTGATTATGGTGCTTGGAGGAATCTCGCAGTTCTTTCCTATGAAGTTGCAGAGCATTATTGTCGGATGCTACGTTATCGTGTTTGGTCTTGGTGAGTTTTCTCCCTTTTATTGCCCAGTTTTTTACGTGCTGCTTCGGCGTTGCCTTCTTCTGGTGATGATGTCTTTGGTTACGCTAATATGGGTGCACTGTTTGATGATTAGTCACTGCATTACTGGAGTTCCAGATTCCTCCACAAACGTCAAGATATGCGTCGTTCCTGTTCTCGTTCCTTGGTCGCGGTGTTTGTACGTTCGCTTTTGTTATCTAGGAATTTCAAAATGACGGGGAAAATGTGGTGGAGGGCTGGGCTAACAAAGAGTGGTGGGCAGTCTACATCTTTGTCGGTAGTATTTTGATTCACGACAGTATTTTGAGGATCATCGCTGGGTCCATCATTGGGCTCGTCGGCGCTATCTATGGTGAGTGTCTTCTTCCGAGGCCTCTTTGGTAGCAGTGGGGAGCTAACCGGATGAATCACAGTTGGCCTGGAGTTCGTGCCGTCCATTGAGCCGCCAGAGAACATGAGGAGCTCCGAATGGGATGGCGAGCAGGTTTAGGGCCATTGCGAATGATATCCTGTTATATTGAGACGAGGGACTGCTGTGCGGGATATGGGATTATGGTCATCGGGGCAGAGACGGATGCTATGCGGGGATGGGACGAGCGAATGGTGGGGATGTAGCGATAGGCACAGAAGGAAACGAACAGTGGTCGGAGGAATTCTAATGGGTTTACTTGTCTACTTTTTATTATTGCAATGGTTTGGTGGGCAAGGGCGGAGGCGCCGTTGGCTATTTATTGGATTAGGATGCGTTTACGGTTTTATATTGTCTTTTGGGCTTGGAGGGTTGGGGAATCATTTGGGCCCTTCGGAGCCGTGGTTTGCCGAGAATACCAGGTTTGCACTTGATTGAAATGGAGAGGGGCTGCGCTCCTCCATTGGCTTGCCCAAGACTTGGATGTAGCCATACAAGTAGTTCTAGGATTACTCGTGTGATATCAAATCAGCTCTTGGGGAGCCTCATGTATGATAGTATTAGTCCGGTCTACACTTGCTCCCGCTTGCTTGCCTGGCACCACGAAAAGCTGGTTACACCCGATATGCTACCAGAATCGGTATCATATGCCTAATCAGCTCGGCCGGTCGGCTAGCATTAACCTCTCCACCGGTAATCAGGCGATTCGAAGTCCCACCCCCGCAATCCGCACCCGTTCCCCACATCTGACTCAGAAGAATATATAGTATCATATCATACCTCTCCCTTCACCACCACCGCCACCAGACATTACCAATCCCCAAACACCAAACCAAGACACCCCCCTCGACATGCCAACGTTCTACCCTTCACTCACCGAAGACCTGATAACCTGGCTGCAGACACAGCCCCTCTTCTTCACGGCTTCGGCGCCACGCTATGGCAAGCACGTAAACCTCTCGCCGAAGGGCTACACCTCCCGCTCCTTTCGCGTGCTGAGCCCGAATCAGGCCGCGTACCTTGACGCCACAGGCTCGGGCTCGGAGACTATCTCGCACATCTACGAGAACGGGCGAGTGACGGTGATGTTCACGTCCTTCTCTGCGTCGCCGCGCATACTCCGTCTGTTCTGCACCGGGCGGGTGGTGGAGGCCGAGAACGCGGAGTTCGATGATATTGTGCAGTCGTTCGGCCCACGGGGGGAAGAAGAGGGGGGGGAGGGCAAGGGAGGGATGAAGGGGGCTAGGGCTGTGGTCCTGTTGGATATTTTCAAGGTGCAGACGTCGTGTGGGTATGGGGTTCCAATTGCCGAGGGGGCCCCTACGGGCGGGGAGGAAGGGGGAGGGGGAGTGGAGGGGGAGGCACGGTTTGGGGAGAGGGAGACTATGGAGAGGTGGGCTGAGAAGCAGATCGAGAAGGGGAACTTGGAGACGTATCGGGCAGAGTGGAATTCTTCCTCGTTGGATGGATTGCCCGGGCTCAGGAGCGCGCGGAGGGAGAAGGGCGAAAGGGCTCTCTGGGTTGGGGATTTGCTGGCTAGGGCGAAGAGAGTCGGACGTGAGTGGGAGGGGTTGCTGGTTGGGTTGGGAGTGGGTGTTGCGGTCGGGTTCGGATTGCAGAGGTATTTGGTGGGGAGGTAAGTAGTGTGGCGGTAGTACATACTTAGTAGGCATGTTCTGCCACTCGGGAGCTGGGAGGAGGAGCTTTGTCGGAAATAGCCACACAAGCACGTACTAGTACATTAGCACACGCCAGCTGAATGCACTAGCACTAAAAAATTTCTTCTTTTATATTTTCCTCTTTACCTCCGATATCTTTTCACTTCATCGAGCAATCGACAAACTTCTCCTCTCTTTAAACCCCCTTTTCTCCTGACTCGGTGCAACCTCCAGTTTGACCATTTCCCATTTCCCATTTCCAGCAAGGAAGGTGTGATGGAGAAGATCCAGTTGAAATGCCAACCAGCTGTTAGGATTTACTCGATAATACTTTCATATATAGCGCGTAGAGAAATCTACAGATGATTGTCGTTATTAGGGAATTCCTTCTAGCGCATCTACGATACCTAGTGACACAGCTGACTAATAGCATGCCTACCCTCCGCGTTACAGTCCCGCAATACCCCCTCTTCTACGCCCCAAGCCGACAATACGACCCCCAAACAGTTTCCCCAACGCCAGCACCACACTCCCAGCCGCGAATCGCTGGATCAACAGCACCTATGCAGCACGGTAGACCAACGAACGTATCACACCATATGTCAGCTGTAGAAGCCAGGCAAAAGCTTCTGGGGGGGGGTTGTGAAAGCTGTAGTGGTCGACGATGGTGATGTAGGGGGAGGAGAGGTATCATAGTTGTAACGACTAATGAACGTATTGGACAAAGTGAACCACTTTGTAGGATAATTTGCCGTGTGTGTGTCTAGGTTCTGTTCGGATCCCCGCAGCGAGATTTGGCATCGTAAATTAGCAGTTCACACGGTCGTTGTTGACCCCCCCCTTCTATTAGGTTGGGTTCGTCAATCTTGCGGGCAGAGTTGCAGTCATGGAATATCACTAGCTGCGTGGTTTGAGTTGGATGTGGCGATGGGCAATAGCTCCTACGGTAAAGGGTAATTATCGGGGCAATGATTGAGTTATCTGAAATACCCTAACTATACTCGAGTACCGTAAAAACTCGAATAATTGGACCATGTGCTAGGTAGTCCAAAATTTAATAAGGTGTAAAACCCGTTCAAGTGGAAATTAGTGCCTTGAACCTTAAAAAAGGAGTAACACCAGACCGCACAGGAAGTATTTCTCAACCTCATGCGATTATGTCTTTTTATAAAATATAAATAAGAAATAAAATATTTACAGACTCTCAATACTTGTGATAGCAAACTACTCTTTCTACTATTCTTTTACTTTGAAAACAGGAAACTACTATACTATCTCAACTGTTAGGCGGAGACAATCTGTATAGACTCAGAATCGTCAAGGCCAATCAAGATTTGTTTCATAGATGGAGATGTGTCTAGGAAGGCTCAAAGAGTTACTCATTTTGTTTATGACTACTAAGAGTAAGGTAATCTAGAATAGAATCATAAAAATAATATTATATTGTTAAGGTCTCTTCTCTGTTACTTAATAATGTCTAAAAGCTTGAGAGGCACTTTGATATTTATATTCTGCATCTGAGTATTTGTAGACTACATCTGTTTTTGTTAGGAATACCTGGATCCGATACCTAGGAGTTACCCTAAGTAGGGTAACTGCACGCGGAATTGGAATCCCTGGTCTCCAACAAACCCTTTCAGCCCCCTTACAGGGCCCGCATGTCATCGTACATATCAATCTCAGTTGAGTCCTGTGACTATAATACTACAGAGCTGAAGGGGTAAGAATAATACCATATATGTTGCCGCTGTCTGTCCGACTGGATCCTGTTTGCAGATTATATGAGAGGAGACCGTCGGCTAGGTCTGAGAAGTAGAACAGAGTAAATCTGTCAAGTACTCAGAAGGTTACTAGGCTTCAAAGATGTAATATCGTTGGCATGGGCCATAAGTAATGGGATGTTTTTGCCCGAAGAGATGGTATCAAATGGTAAAGAATCTCAGCGAGAGACTAATACATTCACATCTACTCTATAATATCCAGAAGAGTCTAGAACTCCGAGGAACACTACCATAAAAGTCAATGGACTTCATAAAGTGTTGCAACTAGGTTTCAGAATACATTGCAGTTACGAGGATAACTTCCAATACTATAACAGTAATTGAAATCATGTTATCCATAGCAACTATGGGTTGCCGACCAAGGGAATAGTTGTCAATCCAGGGAAACAGCTTTCTGTGAATTAGGAGGAAGTCCTCCAGAAGATATCTATTGGTTAGGTAAGGAGTTATGAAGGTTTAAAGTCAGGTGACCAAAAAAGATTGTGATTATGACTACCTTCGTAGATATAACCTACAGATAAAACTGATCATTTCATCAATAACAGAGACAATTAGGACCAACTCAGTTGGACTTGAGAACTAGGTCACAAGTTCAAAAGACTCTAATGATCAGATAACTACTATTGGAAACAGCATGAATTCGAGTTAGTTATATCATAATTGCCAAAGAGGGTGTGGTGATTTTCTGGGTCTCCAGGCATTCGCACCTTTTCAGAATACCTGATATTGTGAGTTATAATCGGAGAAGTATATAGTTGTATGATAAATAGATGTAGTCTGCGAATGTTCAGGCACAGAATATAAATATTGAAGTGTCTCCCAAGCTTTAGATATCATCAAGCAATAGAGAAGAGACCTTAATAATATAACATTGTTTTACGATTCTATCTTACTTTATCAAATTTACTTCGCTCTTAGTAGTCATAAACGAAATAAGTGAACTCGAGACTTCCTAAACAATCTCCGGGTACTGATATGAATCTTGGTTGTTCTAGACAATTCTGAAGTCTATCTGATTATCTCCGCCTAACAGTATATTATTAGATCTCCTTGTTACTAAGGCTCTCTACCTCTCTACCTACCTTTTCCTACTACACGACATGGCCAGGATACCAAGTGTCCTGCCACATATCTTACTCAAACAGAAACTTCCAAAAATGCGGGCTTCCAACCTTGCGCAGTAGAAAAGAAGCTCGCAAATGTGCAAAGGAGATGTCACAACCTCCTAAGCAGAATACTCCAGGGGACCCAATGGATACCTCTGGAGATTACTACTCTATGACTCTCAGTTGTTCGTCCTCTCTCCCTCTGGCTCTTTGAAAACCATTTGGAGAACTGGCAGACAAAATCTTTATTACTCCCCTATCCTCAAGGGCCCCTTCTCCTATTTCAGGACCCTCTACAACACGTCCAAACACCTATGCAGCAGACTTCGCAAGACCTGCTGCTAGAGTTGAAATAGTCATAGGTCAAATGAACAAGATATTTTAACCAGTATCGATACAGCCAATATTGCTTTTGAAACTCTGTCACCTGACTCACTGGTCAATACATGAGGGCTGATAGAAGTTCAGCAAAGATTGCTGGAAGGACAAGACCTACATGATAATAACATAGTCGCTATGTTATATCAGTGTACTGTGGTAGAAGCAAATGTCTGAGAAATGTAAGAAATGATCAACCGGGAAATAGCTACTAAATTGGCAGCACAAGATACACGACAAGAGCATCACAATGGAGTAACCACCCAAGTGCAGCAAGATGCTCTCAAGTGAGATTTCACTCTGGAATGAGTATTCCAGGAGTTTAGAACACAACAGACCTAAAAGAATCAAGCAATTGGAAACCTGATATCCAATCTGGCCTTCAGACAAGAAAGAGAGGCAGACCGCTATAGTAACTTTACTCACACTATTTAAAGAGATCAAATACATATATCCGATACCTTATTCCAAGTACTTGAAAAACTCAAAGCGCTAGATAGCGGACAACTAAATGGTCGGCAAGCGATGTCAGAGTCAGTCTCAGAAGAATGGGAAGATGCTGCAGAAAGGGAGGAACTCGAGGAAATCCCTACCTGAAGTAAAAAAACGTAGAGAGAAGGAGAACCTCCAACTCCTATAATACTGGGCAGTGACCTAGATGATGGAAGTAATGATGGGGATGATGATGGAAATGGAGGAAGGCGTGGAGGAGGACCATTCAGATTTAAATGGGGATTAACTCCTGAATAATGTGGAGCAGCCGATGTACTTGCAGAAGTATTGGTCCAAACTGTTAAATGACCAGCACACCTACCTTCATTTTTTAAAGCAAGGACCAGTCAATACGTCTACTATTAGTTAACCCAACATGTGGATTATTTGAAATAAAATCCGAGGATCTGGGATGATGATTGTGAATGTATCATCTACGCTCTTGGGAGGACAGAAGGAGATCAGGTTAGCCTGATAGCAGTATGGTATCAGCATGCAATGGATGGCCTCGGTGGAGAGGAACAAGACCTGGAACTGAGTTCATGGACTTGCTTTGAATACAAATTTACTAGTTGGTACATGAGCTTCGAAGAAGAAGGATGTAGTGCCATAATGGACATGGAATTAGTTGAGTATAAAAATAATATTCAGACATTTATGGGAAAAATGCATAATCTGAATTTCCATACTCGAATAATAGGACTAGCCTAGTATATGACATGTGATAGAAAGTTGACCTCCAAGATTAGATGGTGACTTTCTCTGAACAAATACAAGTCTGATAGAGAATAAGAAAAAACAGTCCAGAAAGCAGGAAGGAATGAGGAGGAATAGCAGGAATGGGACCACCTAGATCGGGATAAGTTGAAACCTGCAAAAACATTTTCAGATAAAAAACCTGCGGACAAGAATCAATCAAAAGTAAAAAGAGAGAAATTCTTTATAAAGGGAGGTGGTCTCTCTAAAAAGAGGAAGCGGGAACCAGAATCTGAGAATTCGGCAAAGAGATCTACCAGGACTATAAAGTCGATATATACCAACTTCAAAGTAGTCTATAAAGGAATTCTCCAGCTAACAATTAACGAAAGAAAGCGGGAAGGCAGTTGCACTTGTTGCGGAAAGAAAAGCCACGAGTTTAAACCTGCTGGAGACAAATTCAGGGATCTAGAACAAGGGCAGATAACCACTCATTCAAGATATAAAGGTCCAGAATAGTGACTATAGTTTGCCGTCCCAGAAAGATCTCTACCGCTTAAGTTTCAAGAGCAATAAGCTCTGAGAACTAGGTGAAGATGAAGAAATAACTTAGGTCATTTCATTGGTACCGACAACAACAGTTTTTGGGTAGTCTAGATGAGTCATACTCTCTAGAAATTGAAATTAATGGCAAATTAAGGGGACGTCGAAGCGAAGAAGGCGACCTTGCGATCATGACTTGAGTGGGAGTACACGCGTCCTTCTTGCCGCAAGGACAAGGGGATTAATAAAGAGCAGTGTACGCATTGGCGGCGCCTCTATGCTTCCTAAAGGAGTATTATAAGCTTGACTTCAATAATCTAGCACATGTCCACTAGGGTAGTCAGGTACATGACCTGGAAACTGAATGGTCTTCGATAAGGACCAAAACCTAGACAGGAAACAGACAGTACCATGGGTACTAGAGGGAGCGACAGTAAAGCTAAGATTAAGAATCTAGAGGAAAAGTGAAGCACATATTCGATCTATATGAGAAATAGGTACAAGAGCTCTAGACCTTACCTTTAGTTACTGCCTTCTTAGGTGCCGCACTGGATCCGAATAGAACCCGATAAAGTGAGGACACTGTCTACAGTTAAGTAAGGGTGGAGAATAAGCCTGAGAAGGTTATCAAAGAGATAGCTGACCAGCCCTACACACCCAGCTATAGTTTTCATGATATCTGGACGATGGCAGAGACCCGCTAGATTGGCTCCACAGGTAGTAAAAAGTGGAAGGTATGGGAACCCCT